GCCCACACCCAAGTTGTATTATAATGCATGGCTATAATGGACCTACCTAGTTTAAGTAGGGACATATGAAAAAATCATTTTGAGTTGTTTATGACTATTAAGTCCTCCCGAGTTGTTATTATGACCTAAAGAAGACATGTTACTGAATTGTAGGTTTAGTAGGGTTAAGTTTAAAGAAGACATGTCATTGCATTGTTAAGTTGTATACTTGTGTTGTCAAGTTGTTTTATAATGTTGTTGAGTTGTTTACTTGTGTTTCTCACTTATGCATATGTGTATATGAGTTGTCATATTTTGTGTTGATGTGATTCTTTTGAGTTGAATTTGATCAATTTGTAAAGTTGTTAGAAGTTGATATATTTATCCTTTCACTTTCTATTATATGTTGTTTCTTATTATACAAGTTTACTCTTATTTTACCTTGTGTTAAATTGCATCGATCATACTTAGTTTGGACGGTAGGTCAAGATTAATAAGAGGGTGAACTATGAAGTCTTTTGGCTGGCCATGCGGAGATGACTTTTTGTTGGGACTATTTTGATACAACTTGTTTATAGAGCTGGTTGACCAACACCTAGGGTTTTATGTTTTTTAGTCCTAGTAATTTTGTAGATTTTTGTAATTATTTAAATTTCTACAACGATGATTCTAACCAGACTTTATGTTTTTGAATTGATATGGGCTAGAACTGATTTATGTTTTATATATGCATCCTTATACATAAATATATATGTTGCATGAATATTTAGAGGTTGTTTGAATGAGAATCTTAAACTAGATAACTTTATGTTTTTCGTTGTGTGATGTATGTTGTATTGTGCTTAATGAAGTGACCTGGCCGATCATTATATATTTTATATATTACTTTTTTTGGCAAATAAATCTCGATTAAATCATAATGGATTCAAGATATTACATGATTGATTTAAATTATAAAAAAAATTTTAATTCCATTTAATTCATTTAGATTTACTGTTCAATTTTCGCTTGATTTTTCTTTCCATACACATATCCATTAGAACTTATGAAAGTAATAAATTGAATTAAATCAAAATTCGAAACATAGTATGTCTAGTCTAAATTGCATTCATATATAAAATAGATATCATTGATAATTTTAAAATTAAGTAATTATTATATACATGAATCACATTGCATTAAAATTGTCATGAACCATAATGAATTGTTTAATTTTGTCAACAATATCAACTAATGGAATCCTAATGATATATATTTTTCCACTTTTGTTTGATTCAAATTATAAATTTTTATTTAATCGAATTCAATTCTTTTAGATTTATTTTTCGATTCTTGTCAGATTTTTCTTTCCATACATAAATCTGTTACAACCGATGAAATTAATATATTGAATGAAAAAAAAAATCAACAAATAGTATGTCTAGACTAAATTGCAATGATATATAAAATACGTATCTTTAATAATTCTAATATTAAGTAATTATTAATTATATAACTAGTCTTCAAATCCAATGTCCGAAAAATAATATCACAAAGAAATTTAAGTTTTACTCGGATAAATGAGTAATTAATTATACACTTAGTTCTTTATTTTTTATTATTAAATTCATTTTAGTCTTTTATCTTATGTTTATTTTGGTCTTTTATCTCTTAAATTTGAATTAATTGGATTTTTTGAAACAATAATTATTTTCAATTTTGAGACATAATTTTTTATCTTTCATTTGATTTAAGACTTGAAACTTGTTTCATTAAATTCACTTATATGAAAATCATTACACACAACTAAAGTTCAATGCATTTAATATTTTAGCTTTCTGATTTTTTTTTCTATGTTTCATGGGAGTTTGTTTGTTTTGCTATGGTGGGTATTAGATTATTTCAGATATTCAGTTCTTACTTTACAACATCAATAGAAATAGTTTGATTTATATATATAAATTTCATTTGATTTTTTATTCATTAAGTATGACTGTTTGAATCGGAGTTTCAGTATATGAGTGTTTTATGTTCATATGAGTGTACAAACCGCGATATTGTAGGGGGAAAATCGTTTGTAAATTTCATAATCATAAATTGACATTTTATTATATCTTTGTAAAAAAAACAAAACAAAACAAAACAAAAATTGAATATAGTTTTGTATGTATAACACAAAAATCTTTCAAGAAATTCATGAATACCCGCTTAATAGATATACCCGCACGAACATGGGGTGGGTATGAGACCAATTTTCATCTCGCGGGGCGGGGAAGGATTTACTATTACCCGCCCCCATGAGGCCCATTGTCATCCCTAAATATATTGAAATTACACAAGACTATTTTAACAAAAAAGATTTTGTAAGAATGTAATGACTTTTAAAGTTTTTTAAAAGACTTTGTAAGAATGTATATGTAATGACTTTTAATATTTTTTAAAAATACTTTTACAATCAAGATTTTGTAATATAAATTTTAATGGATTTATATCATAAGATTTCAAATGATTTTATGAAATTTCAAAGGATAATATAGATTTTAAAAATAAAAATACAATTAACAATAAATAACAAATGATAAGGTTTGAATAAATAAAATAAAACCAATACAAATTTTTTAATCTTTTAAGAAACTATTGATTCTAACTTCACATTCTTCTAAGAAATATCTTTGTACTTATAGCCTTTAATGAATTGATATTTTTTCATTCATGCTATTAAGTTTGAATAATAATTCAATTTATGATATTCGGTAACGGGTAAAGCTATCAAAATTGACCCATATGATTGGTTGGTTCATTGTAGATCAATTCAATTAAGTTGGACTCTTTACTATTAGGCTCCAAAAAAGATCAAGCTAATTAGAATAATAAAAATTAGGCTAGAAAGATACTTGGCCTATTTGATTTAAAGATTTTTTCCCTTTTAAATCATGTATAAAATTATTAAAAATAAATAATTATTTCAAGTTATGTACGCACATACTAATTTTATAAATAACCTAAAAATTCCTCTTAGTAGTGTTTAGATGAGGAAATTTAAAAGTTGAGATGCTTGAAATTTTAATTGTTTTGATTGGAGAATTTAATTTAAATTTTTTAAATTTCAAATACTTAATATGTAATTATTTTTTGGCTTAATTACATTTTTGCTCCCTCAAGTATTGTAGTTGGGCAATTTTGATCCCCAAAGTTTTAATTGGGTAATTTTAGTCTCTAAAAGATTGTAAATGTGTGATTTTGATCCTTCAATTTTTAATTGAATAATTTTAGTCCTTCAAATATCATAATTATGCGATTTTAGTCTCTCCCATTAAAAATTTAATAATTTTAATATATATATATATATATATATACAATATTTTAAAATTATACAATTATTAGTCTATTCAAGTTAACACATATTATAATTTTCTTCAATTCATCAAATGATATATATTTATTATTAATAAATAAATAAAATTTATATATTATTATTTTTATAATATTACTGATAAATTAATTACAATAATATTATTAGTGTATTTATA